ATGATGATATTGAATGTACTATATAGTGTACACCGAAATCAATGACTTTCCTGTGCAATGGGATGATACCATTTTATTCAAGGTCTGTCGATTAGAGCTGCCGATGCAGTCGTTCAATAGCTAGCAATCGAAGCCTAGATGATCGCTTGCTCTAATTATGAGAGGCGTTGACATGGATCCGTATACGCTTATGTACATCAGTACATGTAGTATATTTATTTTATTTTATTGTACTACTGTACTATAATCATAATCAATAAAATTGCCTTTTATAGGCAGGTAAAGTGTTATAATGTTCACTGTACGGTATGATGGTAAGGATTCGTAATTAAAAATGGCTAAACAGCTTTCCATAAGCAGTTTCTATATTGCCTTTCATATTGATAATGATGATATCCAAGCCTATATTAACGTATAGTAATGATGACTTAGAGCAAAAACAACTGTAATATCTTAAAACGCTTTGGTACGGTATTATTCTTGAAGTAACTAAACTACTGTGTATATGTTACGCATACATAAAATGCTAAAGTTTGTTGATACACAAAATGCTAAAGTTTGTTGATACATAAAATGCTAAAGTTTATCGATGCATAAAATGCTAAAGTTTATCGATACACAAAATGCTAAAGTTTGTTGATACACAAAATGCTAAAGTTTATCGATGCATAAAATGCTAAAGTTTATCGATACACAAAATGCTAAAGTTTGTTGATACACAAAATGCTAAAGTTTATCGATACATAAAATGCTAAAGTTTATCGATACACAAAATGCTAAAGTTTGTTGATTGTCAGCAAGGCTAATTTTTGCTATTACAAATTCAACTCAGAAAGAAACATCAGTAATCAGAACCTAAAATAGATCACTACAGGACTATAGCATAAAAGAGGATAACCATGATTATGCTGAAAAATAAGAGCTTAAACACAATGTTAACTTTACTTTTTACTATTGAAACGTAATATTTTGCTATAGTGTAGTATAGTAGCCAAAGTCGACCCACTGATCAATTCTTAATAAATATAACTGATATAAATCAATTAATTACAAGCACATAATAGTAATCGTTCGCTGCATACAGGTGTGAAATTGTTAATTGTATGCATCTATAGAATGTATACTAGTGTTCATACGTATATAACGGTAACGATATTACTGCCATTTTATCTTACAGCTTGCATTGAAAAATGCCCTTCGTTATTTCCCAATCGAATACCATCCTGAGTTGGCTCCTGAATTTGCCTATGAACTAAAGACATACGGCCATATTTATATGTATCGATTTCGTCCGGCTATTCCAATGAAGTAAGATAAATACATTAGATTGAAAATGATGATGCACGTTCAGTCCTTTCTGTAATATAGTAATTGAGTATAACTAGGAACGCTAGCTAATGAGATCGCGTTCTGCTATCTTAATTACAATTCTGATAGAATTATGTAAACTCGATTCCCATTCCTATCTTATTTAGATGGCATCTAGTTCTGAAATAAGTATTTATAAAATACCATCTCATTATAATTGTAAATAACAGAGCCTATCCGATTCATGAATATCCAACCAACACGAAACAGGCTGCTGCAATCATGCATATGATTATGAATAACTTGGATCCCGAAGTAGCTCAAGTAAGAATGTTCAACAAACTTTTTTGATATCTACAGGATCATACAATAATTAATCGTTATATTTTATACATTACTATAATTATAAAATGATAATGTATGGTATTCCTTTAGCCTCCCTCTCATTTTATTTGTAGTTTCCGCACGAATTAGTAACGTACGGGGGCAATGGTCAAGTTCTGTCAAATTGGGCACAGGTACGATGAGATGCTATCAAAAGTATACAGTTTTTACTTATTTACAAGTAAAATCTTATAATATGAGAAGAGCTACAAAAAATAAATAAGCCAACATAACGATAATGCTAGTGCTAT